TCAAGGTTTAAGTATGCATGTAGACCGCCACAGTATTCCTTAATAGCTCTGTGTTATGTGATCAATCTGGCATTGAATCCGTTTCATGCTCTGACCAATTTTACAAATGTATCGTTGAAATCTGCGAGTTTTGTTTCGGGTTAATTCTGTCGTTTCGAAGCATTCGGATCGTGCTGGTCACATGGAATTTGTCGAATCGCATCTAAGTTCAATTCGAATTTCAGTGAATGTCTTACATTCCAACCGTGAGCGTCAGCAGCGCGGCTGCAGCCGCTAATATGAGTTCCGCAGCAAACATGGCTGCCGCAGCCTATTTCAAGAACGGTGGCTATGGTAATCCGCATATGCCCGGAGCGGCCGCTTTGGGTTTCACCACTCCGAGCGCACATAATTTTCTGCCAGCTGGCATGGGCTACATCGGTGGCTCATTGGCCGATTGTCAAACTGCTAGCATGGCCGCATGGAATGCTGGACAGGCGTCGAGGTCAGTTATTCAGTTCGGATTCGCTTATCAGCTATCTATAACTCCTCATCTGATCCTCGTGATCTACTCTGAGCGAATGTTCCGATCAATCATTAGTGAACTCGAGACACTCGACGTGCACAAAAAAATTTACTGCTCAGAATCTTACAGCATTTCGGTTTTTCACTTCCACTACATCTGGGATCATCACTCAGTTGTTACTGTCCAACCAGCATTTCACACCTAAGAAATCACATTGCATCCAGTCGTGCCTGGTGGATAGAGTTAATTTGATGGATGGAATCAATCAAATCTACTTTCCATTGAACGCATCTACGAGACTGACTATATTCCAAAATTCATCTTAGGTTGCATTGTAATTCGAAAATAAATGGTTCACCTCGAGGCAACCATTATACGCCTTTCAAAGAACTAGATAAACATAACATCAAACATCTCGTTGCATTACACCTCAATTGCTCTCCATATTCTTCACACTTGACGTTTCGATGCCTTCAATTGGTAATGTGGAGTGAGCAAACTCCTTAAGCATTCGAATGGAGTTCAATTTAGAATTGATTTTAGTGCAGGCCAGCATGCAAGCGCATAGACAATGAGTACGTTATATGATTCGACTGATTCGTTTCAACGTCAAATTTCTTACGATACCATAATTTCTTAATGTGGTGCACTCAGAAAATATTGCAAAAGAATTTAGCCAGTGTTGCTTTATTGCAGAAACCTGCTCTAGTTTCAGTCTAAATCGTCTGAAACTTGAATCCATTCGTCGCAAATAGATTGGCCAAATGATTCATTTTCAGGAAACAACGCCGTGAGCGTACAACATTCACACGGATACAGTTGGAAGTTCTCGAAGGATATTTTTCAAAGACGCGATATCCAGACATATTCATCAGAGAGGAGATCTCGCTAAAAATTCAGCTACCCGAATCAAGAGTTCAGGTAATCATGGCACTTTCAAAACGGTCCGTCAACAAATTTGATCAACCGTGATCCAAATCGATGCTCCACTGCATATTCATCCACAAGTGTATACGAACACTAACTGCTGAAACAATCTTCTAAAAACTAATTAATTCACTTCAGGTTTGGTTCAAGAATCGTCGTGCAAAAGCACGTCAGCAAAAAAAAGCGGCTAAGCAAGAGGCACACGTCAGCAATAACGCCGCTTGTCACTCCACTTCCACAAATCATACAAACAGTAACACGTCCTCAGAAGGACACCCTGCAAATAGTGAACCAAATGAGGTAACATTTCAGTGTGTTTGTTGACTGCGTTTATTTTCAACTGCAATGCTTCCACGAAACCACAAAGAATGATGAGACTTTTAGTGCAGTTTGATCAAGATGCCCACTGTAGTTTTACCAAGCAAAGTATCTGTCAAAAACGCAGTATTTCTCAAATTTTACTCAGTTCAACTGATAATGAGTTCAAATTCCAGGTTCAAGTAAAAATCGAGGAGAATGCCGACACGGTGCTCCCGGAACAAACCGATCCGATCACCACAACATCTCCGGTCGAAATCGATCACACAAAACTACCCATCATACCGTCTTCCTACATTGGCACAATATCACCATCGTCCGCATACGCTGCACAACAGGCGTTCCCTCAAGGATACGGTAACAATTAATTGACAGTCATTATGATGCGATGCGATATGAGTGTATGAATGGGTCAACTCAATTGATGAACTCGTTTTGGGGTCTGCATCCCTTCTCTCGCCTATTGTGTTCCTGATCGCTTTGGCGATCAACAATGAAACTGCTTTTCAAGCTCACACTTTTACAATCCAAACGGCTGCCCCCAGTCAAGCATCATACATCAAATGCATGTCGATTGACTCCATCACTCGGAAATCGTCACTAATAGCGTTATTTGAACTAACTCACAACTCTTACTTCAACTCACGATTGGAACAGTTGATGGGTTCCCATGATTTTAAAGCCTTGTTCCCGTTAGAATTAAAGAAAATCTTTTCGATATTTCAGGTTATGGGAGTTATCAGTCGGCCGTTCCGACACCAATGGACTATTTCCAGTATCCAACCAGTGCGGCAGCCACATATGGTGCGGCTGCAGCCGCTGATCCGTGGAAGTTCATCAATCAATGAATGATCTTGATCGGGTGATGGTAATAAAAATGCTTGAAATTGTGATGACCATGGAAATGATTACGATCAGCATTCAAAGTTGACACGCAAGCAAGCATAGATGAACGCATGCGCATCATTGACTACTATCCCATTCATGTCACACGCAGCATCAGTTTCATGACATATTCTCATTCCTACGATACAATTCTATGAAATAACCACATCAATCAGATAGTCAGCAAGAGGCAATTTAATACGAATTAGACACTTCCACGAAATCGTTTCAAAATGAGACTGATTCGAAGTAAATGAATAACATGAAAGCAATGTTGAGGAGATAACATCAAACCATGAATGAGCTTTCGTAAGATATAGTTCCATCAAAATATGATTCCTTTGAATGAATGAGCTTATTTATTTTTCATTCAGTGCACTGATATGCTCGTCAAAATATTGCTTTCTGTTTGTACTTCATTATGATTCTGAACAATATTATGAAAGTGAATATTCGATTTATGTTTCTGTCATTGTATTGTACTATTTTCGTGCGAATGTTTTGTGTTCTTTTTCGAGCCACTCCCAAATTTCAGTAATTTTAGGTACTCAGAATTTTATCCATTACCACGATTTAGTTGTATGTTATGTGGTTCGCAATGTTATTGCAGTTGATCTGAAGATCAAGTGCTCAGTTGTTCTCTTCGTTGCATGTTAGGTGCACAATGCCTCACTCAGTGCTGGAATTTTTCTTCAAATCCCAGAAAGTCATATTTGTTGCATTGAGTGAATGATAGAAGTGGTTTTTTGTGAGCTTGAAGACACTCAAATAAATATGTCAACTGAAATGTGTGTGTTGTGCATTATGCAGTCGCATGCTTGCCTGATTATCAATTTTCTTTGGTAACTTCTACTTACTATCTTCTTTTCCGTATTCAGAGCTTTAATTTGGAAACTTCAGAAGCTCTGGATCAGAAGCTCTAACTGAATTGCTGAAATTTGTTCGTTGTTCTTGAATATATATATATGAGAGAGGAGTAGCTTCACATTCCTTATTGTGATCTTTTTATTATTTCTGATATTATGATTATAATTATTATGAATACTTATTGTTTCACTGTTGTATAATTTTATCTATTTTATGCTTTATCGTCAAATAAACTCATGCGAAATGCTTAAGACCCTGCAATTCTTCCACAGAATCACTAGTATGCACACAATCATATTCTCACTTCCTAAGATATCACTGAATGGAATGGTTCGAATTCGAGCCGAAAAATCCCTCAAACAACAGAGATTACGAACTTTCAGTCGTCTCCCACACTAAACCACAGCCGTTTGGAAATTCAGCGATCTGCTTATCACTGTAATCTATCACGGAACAATTTTCTCAGTCCCATTCATGATATTGTTCTCTACGAACAGATCAATCAATCCTTGAAGTTATNTTATGCTACACATTCTATTGATTTTGATCCACACCGTAACAGGTCAATGCTTACAGACTCTTTCCGCGATCATTTTTCTTCAAAACATTTCGCAGTTCACATACTACCATTTCGTAGCACCTGTCAGAAACTTCGTCAAATCAAAACCTCGTCAACCTGTGATCGCTGTCCTCAATCTGCTTGGAAAATCATGCGAGACGTGAAAGATACGATGAGATCTCCTCATTTTACTGCCACTGAATAGCAGCTATTTCAAGTTGAAACGGTGTATTTAACTCAAAATGAAACACTCTGTTATGATCACCAATCATCTTACATTGATTTAATTTCTGTTCCTTGTTTCTTGGAAAGTACTCCATTTTGCGTGATTCAGTAATCGATATTTCACGATTTCCGTCTCTTTTCTTTAATGCTTTGCAGGAGTGTCAATACTTACCTTGCTCGCTTCACTTCTGTTACTGTTTTCGTGTGAATGATAGTTGAGTATGGAATGCTCGAAGGAATATTATTTACTTCTCGCCTGCTTGCTAACTTATTGCACAGCATCACTCAATATTCACGTAAACCTTTATTCAGTTGCTGAATCCAAATTATCATATAAAATTCCGGAGTGGTGAGATGGTAACTGGTTATTGTTAGTTATCATAAAGAGAGCTAGAAATCAAACCAAGGGAAGCTGGAACATACGTGATATGTGATCTAAAGAGCAAATAAGCAATAACATAATTTTATTCTACGCTGATTACAAATCACTCGATATTGTCAATTATCACTGTTGAACTGAGAACATAGGCACATGAAATTCAATCCACAGAAGCGCTAGAACTTGCAATCTACTAGAAGTTAACCAAAAACTTGAATGAACGTGCTGAAAAGTGTAGACAAAAGAAATCAGTGCTCTCTTAAAGTTCACTTTGAAATGGATTATTCTGATTGCTGACAGAAAGCATCCTATGCGGTTCTTACATTCCCAAATCAACCTCAATCATTTACTGATGATTCTGAAAAATTTCGTTCAAAATCGGCAAAAACACCGATACATGAATGCAATACGAAGCCACAGCATGCGTAATATGATGAAAATTGAAGCATGAAACAAGTGAACGCATAACCCAACGCTCCTTTTCCACTCACCCATATATAAATCCCGAATTCAATCTACAACGAATGCGAAACCAAAAAATCAAAATAAGTATAGTCCGCACTGGTGATCTACTTCACACTACGGTACGAAGCTGTATTGTTCTCTCGTAGCTAATGCGATCATGCATCGGAAATTGGTCGAGCGCATGAAATCGATCCAGACTAGATTGTATCAATAGCAGTCAAACATTCCACCTCAACTCGTCATAAATTCATGATCACAATCATAAAATACGAATAATAGCAATAAATTCACACTCTGTTCGGTTCCATTTAACACATTCACGAGTATTGTTTATCTTTTCAAGAAGGCTTTCTCCTTTTATCAGTTCACCACCGCTTCAACTGATATGATAACGTTCCTTGTCTATTTCGTCTTTGACTTACTCCTGTTCTTGCTCTTTCTCTACCTGCTATCAGCTAGTTTTACTTGCAATGCTTAAAGCAGACCAAACTTCCACTTCCAATTAACTCTCATATGATAAGCTGATAGAGAGAAAGCTTTCTTGAAACGTGTGATTGTGACTGTAATCACTGCTAAGAACAATTACTCATTACTGCAATTGCTAATACGAAGCCATAGTGAGCAGTAGTTTCTAGTGTCGATGTCAATAAAAGGGATGATTGTAAGTGTGATCACACGCTGGCATATTCGGCTATTCTCATTAAGTTACACGCCGCTTCCGTTTATAATCCACGATACTGTAACGTTTGTTTGCTTGTTTTGTTTTTTTTTTTGTTTTACTGCTGCATGAGTCTTATAGTCTCATCACTGTTCATCAGCTGTGAACGTGTGCTTGCTCTAGAAGATTATGGAGTTAGCAACTAAAATTTGGAATAAATTTATCAACCAAAATTCCAGGCTAATATAGGTTTGTGAAATCATGGTTGACAGCAATTGCTTCATACGTCTTTAAGGATTAGATTTGTGAAAATCACTTCACTATCGTTTAATGCAGTGTTTCTGTAATATTCTCAAACGTCAGATAATATTACAGTTGCACTTGGTATGATAATAGCGATTCGTTTATGTTTCGTAGTGGTTCTCACGCATTCCAACTCCATATCTTACCCCAGCCGCAAAGTGCCATTCCCTCCTCCTCTCCGCCAAAAGTTACGAGGCCACACTTCTCCCCTGTCGATCCACTGCATCATAGTGATAATTCAGCAGAAAATCATGGGATTATCCAACTGATTAAGAAGTTTACTTTCCGCAATCTGCAGATGGTATCAAATAGATCGCGTTCTTTTGACCAGACAAACATTTTAAGACCGCAAATCTATGGAAAATGATTTGCCAATTTCATCAATATTTCTCTTGACGCACTTATATTCACCTTCAAGGGAAACCTTTCCACGTGAGAACCACTCTTCTATTGTATTGTGTCGATCCAATACGTTTAATCGTGTTTTCCACTATGCGGATCGTCTCAGTCTCATCATATAATATCCGCATACAATGATGGTCCCCTTTTCAGTTAAGAATGTCACACTTACCACACGGTATCGTTCAAACCACCACCAGTTCAGCAACAATGAATTCAGCTGCAAATATGGCCGCAGCAGCGTACTTCAAGAATGCGGCAGGTGCTTACCCGACACCAGCGCATATGACCGGAGCCACTGCTCTTAGCTTTGCAGCCAATCCACCAGCGCACAATTTCTTATCGACTGGAATGGGCTATTTTGGTAGTACGTTGGCGAATTGCGAGGCACCAATTGCATGGAACGGCATTTCACGGAGGTGATTTTGAAAGCATAACTCAATGCCTGACCCATGATATACCATGAGGATGCACAAAGAAAACAGTTATTGCATCCGATCAGTCATAAATGGCACATTGAGTCATGTTCAGAATCAGTTCTTTTCTACGAATCACATTTAGGTTTTGATTGGTAGCAATCACTGATTCAACAGAGATCACCTTCCATCTCTTACGCATTTCTTCAAAATACGCAAAAACTCACACAGATTTCACGTTTGCAGGAAGCAACGCCGTGAGCGAACGACCTTCACGCGTGGCCAACTGGAAATCTTGGAGAGTCATTTCGCGAAGACACGATACCCAGATATATTCATGCGAGAGGATATCGCTCGAAGGATTCGACTTCCTGAATCCAGAGTTCAGGTATTTTTCGCTATCTGCAGGGGGACTATGCACGAATTCTGTTTGTTTTCATCACCAATTGGATGACCAGCACATGTACAATACTTCGGTTATTCACGTTTCGTTTGAAAAGTCTTCTTATAATGACTCTCAAGTAAGATCTGTTCCTTCGATGAATTTCAAATTAGATCGATCTCTCGCAACCTTTCTCTGAAACTATTTCAATCGTTTACGATGCGTTACTGATGCCATTGCACAGGTATGGTTCAAAAATCGACGTGCTAAAGCACGACATCAGAAGAAAGTTATTCAGCAACACATCGCAGCTCAGCATTCGTCCAGCACAAGTGATAGTGTGTTATGTGCTAGTTCAAGCAATAACAATCGATCTTCAGTATCTGAAGGAGGCAGTCGCTGTGGATCTGGGATGGAGAAGGTTGAGGTTGGAAACGTTCATAATGCAGTGTTACAGACATAATCTTTGTTTGCTGTGAAGAACGCGGATTCCAGAAGATCTCTATCGTTTCTTAGAACAACGGCTGATATTTGATCGCTTTTATGACATTGCCGATCGAATACCTCCTATCTTATGCCATTCATCCAATGCAATTTTTGGCACTCTTAGACGAGAGGTCACTTCCTCCACCTCATGGATCAATATCCGTTAGGCTCATTTCAAAGGAATCCATCATTCAACGAAAGTAATATCCCATAATGTTTCCCGAAATTCTTTTACTGGTCGTGAATGATTTCTGCACGATTTGTTCAATACTGGAGAGCGTAGGCATTGTGTGACTTCTAATGAANTGTCAGGTGAAAGTTGAGAATGCATAGTGTGTTCAAAATAATAAATACATTGTAAATTCATCCATTCAGATTGATTCGATTGACAGCAAAATGCCTCGAACGCACCCACCCACCACGTGTATCGGCGCTGATGTTCCAATATCATCTGGAGGATACGCTTTCAGACAGGGTTACGGTATGTTCGCAAATTTCTATGTTTAAAGCCAATTACAGAGCATTTCACCCATTCCGCACACTTCTTTCAAATTCAAACTAAAATGCTCCACATTCAAATTGGCCCTATAGGCTATCACTGTCCAATTTCCATCCAATCATGAAATCAATGGTAAGTTCAAAACTGTCGTGATGCTTTTTGAATGCTTTCGTCATTAGAACTTGATGGAGCTAGTAATCTACTGATGTTCAGAGCCATTCACCTTAGGCTATTCTTATTTCATTCGTTGAAATCCGATCGGCATAAAATGCTTCTATTTAAGGCTATAACGGCAATCAAAGTATCTCGGCAGTCACTCCGGTCGAATATTTCCAATGTACACCACAGCAAGTGAGCACAGCAGCTAACTGTGCAATTGCAGACTCATGGAAGCTCTGCTAACCATTGGGAAGCGGTCATGTGACTGATAATGATTATGATAGAGTTGGTGACCATAAAACTGAATCATTGATTGTTTGAAGTTTCATGAAATTGTAAATTAAGTACTGATAATAGCGGAATGATAGAATAACTGCGTTTGAGACAAAATATACAACCACGATTGCGGAACTGCGGTGGGACAACCTCGTCTTAATGTGCACCAATTTTGCTGTTCTAGCTTTTGTGTTCCACAAAATTTAACTAGCTTTTGTGTTCCACAAAAGCTAGTTAAATTTCCACAAAGCTAGTTAGTTCCAAAAGCTAGTTCCACAAAAGCTAGTTAAACTTGTCATGTATCTAAATAAATTTATTGCGTATATTTCACAGAACAGAGATATTATTCAATCACTATCACCTCAATTCACAAACCACGCTCGTATACTAAAAATGCTGGGAACTGAGTAATTGACTGTGAAATTCTTTTGCGTTTGGTATTCGAATATTCTGGTCTCTCACAAATGTTATCGCTTGCATCGGTATTGTGTACGTTATAGAAACACGAATGAGAACACTGATTTGATGAAATCTTTATGATACTACTGTGTGAGTGAGTAATGCGATGGCTAACACATGGCGAACGGTAGATAGAGACCATGTGAACCATCAAAAAATTTCAACAAAAATTAGCGTATTAGATTCCTGATAGGAATGTCAACAAGCAAGAAACATCAGCAAGCAAAATAATCGCAAGACGATGAATTCTTTTCTGCAATCTATTTCTTGTCTTCTCTAAACCATTTGGCTGCCTCCGACAAGCCCTTGACCATAGCTTCAACACTCGTCTCCAATGAGGCGTTTTCATTCTCGGATGGGCTCAGGAAAGAATCATCCCGAGATGGGTTCTGCTCATTAATTGGGCATCCTCTTTTACCAAAAAATACTATCTGTAATCACCGAGTATTTCATTAACGATAACACGAGTTTCCATCAAATCATCCATCATGCACTGCTTCAAAATATTTTTCTCAGTCGTACTGCACTGATTTGAACTATATCCAAACTGGTTGCTAGCATATTTGTCGTCTGCAAACGATCTACGCCAAACAATACTACTATTCAATGGCGTATTCAGGTAGTTGTGATGAGACTGCATTGTGCACTGGTTTAGCTCTTTTCATGATTGAATATTTTTGGTGATTAATTATCGGAAAATTTGGAAAACGTACGACTCGGTCAAAATAGCTGGCATGATCCGCTATTATTTTGTTCCCAACGCTACTATACACAAACTGATCACTGCAATTAAAGTCCTCATTTTTGGGTTCTCCCGAGCATTCCTTGTATGGCGATCCTGGGGCCATGCCTTCCGGGTACCTGCAAAACAGTTTATCATAGAAGTGCCTTAGTCTAAACGCACATATGAAGTTGTTCAAAAGTACACATGCAATTAAACATACGAACCAAACTGACTGACCATATTTCGACGCCATGATGATAAAAACCATCCGATTTGGTATCGCAAGGCTTACTCCCATCGCTGCCAGCCACGAAATTTTCATCTCTTGTGCATGGCGGGATATGTGGAACCATATCGTGCTTATGGACAACGCGAAAACTCAAAAAATATTGATGAGTTGTTTCAATCCGACAGTTCAACCCAATAAATTCAATGCGCAACGCGCAACTCGTTACTAAAAACTTCAGCTCAGTTGCAATCGTTGTGCCATCGAATTAACAGATCGACATCATTGCCAATCACAATCGAAATTTTACAATATCCACTCCATATTTCCGGTCATCGCTTTGCTCAATCTACCGTTCATTATAACTGACTCAGAATGTCACATCGAGAACTCCGTATGGTGTTTAGCAGTTGTTAAGCTATTGCAATTTGGTACCTAGAGAATCGACTCAAGCTCAAGCTTATGCTAATTCTAATACGTAAGCAAACTGGACGTAGATTTGTATGGTAGATAGGCAGTATGCATATTGGACAAATACATTTTACAGCACGATGAGAATTTCAGGCGAACTCGCCATGCAACGATAACCTTTTCATTGGTACTCGATAAACGTAATTTGCTGCAACTGCTCACCTATACGGCACCAGCTCAGTGTGTTTCGCCACAAAATCTTTTCCGCCCACTCTTGGTTGACCGAATGAAACCAATTTGACCTGATCTGACGATCTTAATCCCTTAAGTACCGTTTTCATCGCAGCTATTGACGCCATTGCACCACCTTCAAACGTACCATCAATTAACAATACATTCCGAGCTACATTACAATCAGTTCTCCTCTCGAATCATTCACACTGCTCGAAACGAATGATTTCTCATGAAATGCATTCTCAATTACCTAACGAATGCCCAGTGAACATCACTGGATACGACTTATATTGTGTCTCGTTTAAGTGCTTCGATACATCATCCCACAAATAATTGACACCGTTAACGAAATATGGATGAACCTGAAATTGCAAGGCTTTAAACGGAGTGATTCTCGTTCACATCTGATAGTTCATGCAAGGGGACACCCTCCAGCGATGGAATCTTGATCTTCGCTGACCACTCGAACGAGCATGCCGAATTTGCACTGGATGAATTAGAGTCGAACCTTTCCAGCAGCTAAGAATTGTGCCCTTCCGGAAATTGCCCCCGCGCCCTGTAGGAAGAGCTGCGATGAGGTTGTGGTGCCTCGATATACGACGATAAACTTTTTCGCAACATCGGATCGAATCACATATGCAGAGCACGTATTCCACATCATGTCGCAATATTTTTCTATCCGTTCAACCACTTCCCACTTCTCATCAGACGGAAGCACACTAAAATTTATTCAAATGGACACAATTATGAGGATGGGAAACCTTCTAACTAGAACTCTAAAATCTCTAATAATCATAAATTTCTTTTATCTAGATGCAAGCTTAAGTTGATCGAATTTCACAAAAATACAACCGCATTATGTGACTCCGTAAAACATCGTCGAAAAATCCGATTATGTACGGAATTTTGAAACGTTTAAATCAAATACCGTTCAGCCGCAAGAATGTTCGGAGCTTGCATCTCCAGCATATTATACTTAAAAATTTCAAACTCCAGGTCGAATGAGCATACTGAATCTCTTCAGCACCATGCTGAACGGTAGGGTTCATTAAAATTTATTGTTCTTACTTCTTGACACATTTCTTCGGATCACCCGAGTAGGCCGCTCCAGACAAATAGGCTAGCGATCTGGCTTCCTCTTCGTTGTAGTTGGTTTCGAGGTTTGCGCTCACGTATGGAACCAGCGATATTGTCACAATAGCAAGAGTAACTGTGCTTGCGATCATAATTGCTATCGATGCAAGTTCCTGAAGAGGGATAGCCTAATTTCAGGACACTTCAGCATTGGAATAAACTGGAACAGTTGCTCACGTATTGCATTCACGTTCAAAAATCTCAATCAGAGCAGGCCATGACTGGAACTCATGAGATGCCTGTTTTAGACTAGAAACATAAGTCGTCCGAAGAGTTTCTACAGAAGCATTGGTGCAATGCGAATCGAAAGCAGATGCTGAACCATGTCAATCAGAATCACTTCATTGTATTAACTGAATGAGTTCAACCTTATCGATAAGTTTTGCAGAGATTCCGAGCAATGCAATTTACCACTCACCAACGGCGAATATTTCCTATGCCTTATGCTAGCTCAATGATAATCAAATTTTCAATTGGGATGGATCACTCTCCATTTCGTTCGAGAATGAAAACATCCCTACACACTATGGAAACGTTGGGCTGTGTTAGTGATTGTAACCAACTGGAGTTCGCTTGGTTGGAGCTGAGGAATTTCGAAATCGAAAACGGATTAAGATTTAAGAATTTCGGAATCCGATTGGAACATCGAATTTCAGAATCTCAAAATATATATTCGTTCGGTTTCCGGCCGAGGAATTCCGAAATTCCATCGAATTACCAAACTTCGGAATCACGAAACGTCGATTGGGATGGATTCAGACCGAGCCAGATTTTTTTCGAAAGCCAACACTGGTCTGTAACAATCTTGGTAAGGGATACGGTTACCAAGCCACAAAAACTGCAACTGATTAGGACGACTGATGGTGTGGATATTTAAACCGTTTTCTCAGAAGATAACTCAGGTGAGCAAATAAGAATCGCATTACTTTTCGATTGACTTTGAACACCTTTTGTAAATATTTTTCTCCATTTTGTACTTCTTCTTTTCGTTTTACATTGTTTGCAATTCGAAATTTTTCATATTCCAGCTCTCTTTTTTTCATATTCCATCAAAGGAATTTTTCATATATTTCCAGTTCTCTAACCATTTCAGTGCATCATGCAATGTTTTTAACGTTTGCGATGAAGAACTGTGCAAACGAAGTAACAGTTCGCCAAGTGATAGATCTCGCATTTCGTTTGATTTGTATTCAGTGCTGTTAATTTCTCACCCATAAAATACGAATGAATCCGGGTAATTCATGCACTATTTTGTAGCTCAGATTTTGTAGTTATCGAAATGTTAATCGCAGCATCTGGAGTGTTTTTCATATATTCCCTGTTCTCTGTCTATTTTAGTGCATCGTGCAATGTTTTAATAATCTACATTCCCAGAGACCCTCATTCCGTATGAGTGTACCTGCATAGGAGTGTTTCGATAACATGCTATGAGAATATTAATGAGCACATAATAAACCAAACCATGTTAGATCACCTGTAAGCAGGA